CGGTGCCGGTGGTGGAGGGCCGCCCGCCGGTGCGGTGCCACCGCTGCCGCGGCTACATCTCGTGTCACGCACGTTTCGCGGATATGGGCCGCTTCTGGGTGTGTCCGTTCTGCACAATGGCGAACCCGGTGGAGGAGGCGTACTTCTGCAACCTGGACGCACGCAACAACCGCCTCGATCGGGCGGAGAAGCCAGAATTGTCGCACGGTAGCGTGGAGTACGACGTCGGGGCGTACCCCGAGTATGCACTGCGCGACGAGAAGGATAACTCCATTCCCGTTCGACCGCTGCACTACTTGTTCCTACTGGATGTCTCACAAAGGGCGGCCGCGACGTTTCTCTCAGACTACGTGGAGGCACTGCTGAAGTCTCTCCACGAACTTGCGCAGCAGTACCCCCAGTGTCGCGTGGCCTTCATCACGTATGGGTCCACATTGCATTTTTACAACGTGCGGCACCCCCGTATTCCGCAGCTGATTGTCGCTGATGTGGACAATCCGTTCGTCCCGCTGCCTTTCACAAGCCTTTGCTGGCTCACGCTCGGCACCGACCTTGACCTTGTCGACGCCTTCCTGATGCGTGTGCCAGAGTACGCTGAGGATTTGCACGAGACGCAAAGCGCCATGGGTGCCGCGGTGCAGGTGGCCATGCTTGTTCTCGCTGGCCAGCACGGCGGGCATGTAGTTGTCAGTGCACACAGGGCACCACAGTGTGGTGTTGGCGCAATAAAGCTGCGTGAACAGCACACGTTGTACGGGACCGATAAGGAGAAGGATCTACTCCGTCCTATAGATGGCTTTTGGAAGACAACAGCAACTGCATGCGCCAAACAGCAAATTTCTTTTGATTTGCACATGTTTGCCGATGAGTACTGCGAGTTAGTGACACTCTCACAACCATGCCATGTCTCCAACGGCCGTGTGCATCTCTTTGCCAATTATGATCGTGAAACAGATGCAACAAGGGTGCAAGCGGCTCTTGACCAGACGTTGCTAGAGGAGGCCGGCTACGCGGGAATATTGCGTCTTCGCTGCAGTACTGGTCTACGGGTCCAGAGTTACCACGGGCACTTTCTTTCGCAGGACCCACACGACATGGATCTCGCCCACGTGCAGGGCTCCTCTACGTTTTTTGTGGAGTTTGCACACGAGGGGAAGCTGGAGAAGACCTCCCACGCATACTTTCAGGTGGCGCTACTGTACACCACACGCGGAGGGCAGAGACGGGTGCGGGTGCACTCAGTTCGCATGCCAGTCGTCACGACTCTCACAGGCGTCTTCGAGTCGGACCTCGAGGCCACACTCATGGCCTACATCCACGAGGCAATTGGTATTGCCGTGAACAAGGGGCTACAGCAGGCTCGCACTGCGGCACAGGAGCGGGTTCTAAAAATGCTTATCGCCTATCGTCGTGTGTGCTCGTCGAAAGCGACCACATCCCTTTTGATGCCGTCGCGCCTGCGACTCATTCCACTCTACGTGCTCTCGCTGCTCAAGGCGGACGCGTTGGTGGAGGGCACTACGGTCCGCATCGACGACCGTGTGCAGAAGCTGTTTCACCTCATGACGATCCCGATGCACCAGTGCCTGACGTATCTGTATCCGACGCTGTACGCTGTGCACCACCTGCCGACGGACCCCACCAGCGGCATCATTGATGTAGCAACAGGCCGCTGCATCATGCCTGGCTGGCGGCAGCTCATCTTCGACAGCATCACCAGCGACGGCGTCTATGTACTCTGCGACGAGCAGGCGCGGCTTGTGTATATGTGGGTCGGCTCCTGTGTCACGCCGGAGCTCGCGATCGAACTCTTTGGCACATCGAATGCCGCGGAGGTGGGACGCAGCGTCTTCTTCGACGACTTCGGCGAGAAGCTGCGCAATGTGTTGTGCGCCTGTCTCCTACGTGAAGACGGGATGCGGCGGCTCGTCATCCTACACGAGAGGGACCGCACAGAGGATGCCTTCTTCCGGCAGCTGAAGGAGGAGAACGAGGGCGGGTCAATGGGCTACGATGAGTTTCTTGTGCGGCTGCACCGCGAGGTCAACAAGTCGCTGTCGTGATCGCAGCATCTCCGCTGACGTCCTTACCCAACCACTCACTCTCATTGTTGTAGAGAGCGAGAGAGCGAATGTGTGTGTAGGTGTGCGGTGTATTGGGGTCTTTACGTTTGTTGCGGCGGCATATCTATTCTGATTCATTCAGCATCTTATTTTGTTTTTTTTTCCGGTGCATTGCGTGCGTGCCTCCGTGGCGTTGTCTGCAGCGACGCAAGGTATCTGTGTCCGTGTGCGCCCTGTGGCTGCAGGGAGGCGTCGATGGGACACGCGCGCAATTGGCAGGGGAGAAAGCGGGAGGGAAAGCGAAAGAGAGAGAAAGGTAGGGGAGTGAGACTGTGGGCTGCGGACGCAACGAAAGCCGCAGTAGCGGGGATTGATCGGCGCGAGGAAACCGAATGAGGGAGGCGGGGGCGGAGAGAGAGAGAGAGAGAGAGAGAGAGAGAGAGAGA